CAAAAAGAGGGGTTTTTTTCTACATTCTCTCACTCTGTGAATTGAGATTAGTTGGGAGCAAGGGCACCCTAATAATTGTAAGCACACTGAAATCCCAGATTTTGGTTTAAAATATCACTTTTCACTAAAAGGAACAAGGGCTCTTTGGAGAAATACATAGCAGGGGTAAAGTACAATACAAATACATCTGTCTGGAACTTTTTGACCCAAAAATCAAGAAAGGAAGGACTGAAAGAATGATGGCAACATATCAGAAAGACAAAGGCTCATATGAATAGTCTCCCATGGGCCAAATCTAGAAGAATTTAAGCATCAAAATACATGATAGTGACGGATTATAATCCAATGAATGAAATAAGCCACAATGAGTCCTAATGATATAAACAATTAATGTGAACTTTTATGAGGAATATGCTACATGCATAGTTTTAAAGACCATATCCACAAAATGCTTGTTTGTTACAAAAGAAAACAGAAGAACTTTGCAGCAGAGTAATCTGGAGGACACTACCTTAATCAAGTGATCAAAATGTACATCACAGGCACTGGAAGAGACATGACAACTAAATATTGATTCTATGATGATTAGCTAATTGATTAGTTGACAACTAATGTATGATTCTGAACTGATCCCTTCTACTTTATATAAAAAGCATTATGAGAACAATTTGTAAAACATGAATGGAGATCAAGGATTGTATGGTAATTATGCAGCAACACATGATTTTGATTGTGCATTGCAGTTAAGCAGAAGAATGTTCTTGTTTGTAAAAAAATACTAAATATTTGGGGGTGATCAGATTGGCAACTTACTTGAAAATGGTCTAGAAAGAGTTATTTGTTAAGAGAAATAGTGGGAAAAAAAGTTGTTTGTTTATACCTGCATTTTTTCTGTAAATCTGAGATGCTTTCAAAATATTACAAAAGAAAGAAAAAAAAGGGAGGGCAATGATAACCATACTACATAGGTAACTGACTTGCTCTGGGGAGTAGGATAAAAAAGATAGGATAGGATTTTTAAAAGCCTTAAGAAAGATACAACAATTGATCTAAAATTCCTGCCTGCTCCTAAGTTGGGTAGCAAATTCATGTGTCTTCATTCGAATATGTATCATAACTTACATGTATGTTACATTTTATTTTCTCCCTATATAAAATATTATGGTAATTTTAAAAACTTGCATTTTAATGAGCATAGGATTGAGAGCACAATAGACCTAATTTTGAAGCCTGTCTGTGCCATTTATTATCCCCATGAACTTGGGCAAGACACTTAGGCTTTCTAAATTTCAGCTCTCTTATCTGGCGTGTGCCTGTAATCCCAGCTACTCAGGAGGCTGAGGCAGGAGAATTGCCTGAACCCAGGAGGCGAAGGTTGCGGTGAGCCGAGATCGCGCCATTGCACTCCAGCCTGGGTAACAAGAGCGAAACTCCGTCTCAAAAAAATAAAAATAAAAAAAATAAAAGACTAATGAGAACTGTGAAAGGAAATTAAATTTTGGGACTCTAAACTCATTTAGCCAAAGGGAAAAGTCAAGCTGGGAACTGGGTCAGACAAACCCACCTCCCCTTTCGGTTCCTAAATAAGGTTGCTACAAAATGAAAAGCTCCCTCATATTTTGCCCAAAGGAAATTCCTAGTGAACTGTTAAAATTTCACTATGACAATGTTAATTGACAGCTTATCTTCACAGGTACAGTTACCCTGGCCCACCAGACATAAATGCATATCTGATGGCCGCCTTGCCCCATTTTGTCTGTTTGTCTTATACAAAATGCAGATTCCAGGCATTTTTCCTCTGCCCCATTTGTTTACCTCATCTTATGTAAAAAAAGCAGATTCACTGAGCTAAAGGCATGAATAACTATGTTTCCCTACCCTCTTCTTACATGAAAATTGTGTACTTTTCAATTTCCCACCCTTTCCTCTTTAAATTTGGAGCCCTCAAAATCATCTTCAGAGAAGGGCATAGACTTGTCTCCTAGCACATTCTTAACTTTGGCAAATAAATCTCCTGAAATGATTAAGACTTGTCATTTTTCTCAATTGACAGAACTAAGTCTGGAATTGCTTTGAGGATTCAATAGACAATATACATTATCAACACCCTTTACCTGAAGCCCACCAGAACAGCATGAAATTGCCTTGAGGATTCAATAGACAATATACATCATCAACACCTGAAGCCCACCAAAACAGCCCTATTGACAGGTTGGGTTTATTCCTCCTTGCAATTAGTAAGAAACAGAATAGGGAACCAAGGGGTGTCTTAACAAGATAGCGTTATAAAGAACTTCTTATGGGAAGTGGGTTTTGGTTGGGTGAACTGGCAGAGCATCTAAGGAAGTGAGGGCTTGCTCTAGATTGGAGGGTGTCAGAAATTATAGATTTCTGGGTGAATCTATAACTGGATATTTCAATAAATCTTATCCATATGGAAGACAGACTAGTATGAAGATAGATCTATCTTCATGATAAACAATGGTAAAGTAGCAGGCACTCATTTGGTGACAGGAATGTTTAGAACTTTGTGTTGCAGAGTGACCTTATTATTGTCTGATTTTATTATGTTTCCAGACTGCCCTTTTATGACATTCTGTGAGATAGTACATGCTGAAGGGCAGAACACAAGAGTCTGGCCATGAACATTAGACTAGCTTGTATTGAGGTCTAAATGTGAATGTCAGATCAGTTCTAGATGTCATGGGCTGTTTTTGTTTGCTTTCAACATAAATATGTGGCATAGTGTTTAGCACCTGGGTATGTTTAGCTTGTTTAATAAGGAGCTGTGCTAACCTCTGCAGATCAAGCAAACATGAGTAGCTGGACCGCCTTACAGCATCTGAACTGGATCTTCACCTCTTTGGCTATGCCTCTGGTAACACTGATGGATTACATACATACAAACAGAAAACAATAAATGCTAAAGTTAAATTGTTTAGACATAAATAAACTAATCTATGTTAGCATTCGCTCTCTCTCTAAGGAATTATTTTAACAACAAAATGTTTCCTACTTAAGAAAACCATGATTCATAACCTCTGGCCATGAATATCTAAGGGTTGTCAAAGACAGTATTTGGATTTCCTTTAAGTATTAACTAATAATATTTAAAATGAAAAATGTCAGCATTCAATATAGATGAAAATATGGAAAAATAGATTTAAAAACAAGCTTATATAAGAAGACTTTTATTAGCAATTGAGTTAATGCCCCTCTTCAGATGGGGAAAGTTTATCATGTCAGCTGAAGTGTTTTAAACATGCTTAAATTAGGTTTTCAGTTTTGACGTAATAAGCCACTTTGATATGTATGTAATTTAAGCCAAATTGCACCAACAGAACAACTTACAGGCTTCCTAGATTAATCTGCATGACTCACAACAGAAGGCACTTAGGAACACCTGGCCCTGGGCACATGGGAGTGACTGGGCAGTCAGCAGGTAACTTGGGGTATTGGTTTCCTACTCATTTAGCTCCAGAGAGATCTAGCTTAAACTTGAATAAGCTTATTAATGTTCATCTAGTGCTTAAAATGATAAAGGATTTACTAATACCTCAGGATCCAAATAAAGTTGCCACTAATGATCCTAATTTATCCTGGCTGCATTTTAAAGAAGGGGAATAATAAATTACGGCCAATTGAGTTAAAATTATATAACACATTTTTAGTATTCAATAATACCCACACTAGAGTGCTCACTATATGCTAGGAGCTATTCTAAGTGCTTCTTCACAAAGTGACTTATTTATTCACACAATGCGGCAAGGACTCCCATCATCCTCATTTCAAGATGAGAAACTGAGGCACTAACCAAATCACAGCTAGTAAGTGTCAGGGCATTTTCAAACCCATGTGGTCTGGCACTAGAGTCTACGCTTTCAAACCACTATGCTCTACTGCCCCTCTGAGGTGCCACCATTCCTATTTTTGTGACTCTAGACCCTGATTTTCCACCCATCATGATGTAGAAATGTATGCTGAGGAACAAGAGATCATAGAAAGCACTGCATGTTTGGATTCTTTAAAAATTATTGTATGTACAGTTGTGCCCTCCTTTTTGATCATGATGCCTATTTCTGTCTGTTCCTCACTTTTTAATTAGTGATTTTAGTAACAGATTTAGGTTTATTATTTTTTAAAAATTTTCTGTCATTGCCTGTTTTCTATTTCCTTCTACTGGCTTTATTTCATTATTCTCTTATCTAGCTCTCTAACTTAAACAGATTTGTTTACTTGACTTTGCAATGTGTTTTTTTCCTTTCTTCTTCTTCTTTAACACAGGAGCTCACTTTTTCTTCCAGGCTGGAGTGCAGTGGCATGATCATGGCTCACTGCATCCTTGCTCAACCTCCTGGGCTCAAATGACCCTCCCACTCAGGCTCCCAAGTAGCTGGGACAACCTTACACACCTGGCTGATTTCTGTACTTTTTGTAGAGACCAGGTTTTGCCACATTGTCTAGGCTAGTCTTGACTCCTGGACTCAAGTAATCTGCCCTCCTTGGCCTCACAAAATGCGGGGATTACAGGTGTGAGCCACCATGCCCAGTCCCAGTATGTCTTGAACTCAAAATCTCCCACCAGTCATGGATTCTTATTCTCCTTGATTCCTCTTACAACCACTCATGTTAAGTTTTTGTGCCTACCACTCAACAAAAATTGCTCCTCAGTCCCCATGACCTGAATGTTGTCAAATCCTATGGATACTTCTCAGTTCTTCTCCTACTTGACCTACCAATAGTAATAGACCCGGTTGCCCCTTAAGGTTCTTCTTGAAACACTATATTGTTCTGTACTGTTTCATATTCTTGAGTTTCCTAACTGTCCATTTGTCTCAGTCTCAGCTGCTACTTCCTCCTCTTCCCAATTTCTCAACCAAAATCCTCCTGCAGCATTCATTTTAACACCCCCTTCAGTATACAACAGAAATATAAACATGTAATAACGGGTGATAATCATGTTCTTGATTCATTTGTGTTTAAAACAACTGAAAACAAAGAGTTTTAAGCTTTTATTTAAATTAAGAATATTTTATATTTGAACTAAATTTTGAACTTTCTAAATGAAAGTTTATGACTTGAAGTTCACACTGCTGTACTGCTTTAAAACTTAAAAGCAAATAAATTTTGTCAACTAAAATCAAAGTCACTAATATCTGGTCTGCCTGTCTCTACAATGGCCGCACTGTCACCACATCCATCATTCACGGTCAGTGACCCTTAGACCAGTGCTTACACAAGATTTCTTTCAAATATGGCACTGTGGAGATGGCCACAGGAGGTTCTACAAAAAACAAGTGCTCGATTTACCACTCAACACGTTCAGCTTGAAATGACTGCTACCTTTGCCTTCACTTCCTTCACATACACCCGGGTATACAAGTATCTTTTATATCAAGAGTCCTTGTGGAAGTAAATAGAGGGAACTCCTAGGAATAAAGGAAGGCAAAAAACAGGAGGCACCTGAAGCCAAAACCTGGAGCAAATTTTAAGAAGGAAGAGATGTCCCATTTTCACATCTCTGCATGGATCTCCCATGGAGAACTTGAGTTAAATGTAATGATTACACGTGGCAGAAAGATGACTCTCTAGCAGTTTTTCTTTCACACAGGCTGCTAGATTCATTCCACAAGCTCAAAGATTTTAATAAAAAACATTTCTGCTAAATACTTTATATTCATCATCATAAAAAATGCACAGCCATTAAAAAAGGGTCAAGTACCCTAAATGAGAATTGGCAAAGCACAGATCAACTTTACAGATAATTTCCTTCCGTGTTTCTGATAACTCACAAACAGAAATGGAAAACTTTATTTAACAAGTATTTATTTTGGCCAGGCATGGGGTTTACATTTTAGTGTGTGTGCATGGAGGCCGGGAGAAGTGACTAGTATCATGACTAGAAGAACTAGGAGTGACTAGAAGAACTAGTATCATGACCCCAGCTACTGTAAGAGGACTGAGAAATGGGAAGAGCTCATAGCATGAGCGATCAATAACTGTCACTGATGTCCAGGAAAGCCTTCTCTGACACAGGGAAATCTAAGGCAAGACAAAGTGAAGGAAGAAGCTACACAGAGTTGGAGACATTATGTTGTCATTTACAACTCCAAGAAATATTATCTGCCATCTGTTTCCAGTAAACAGCCACACCAAATCTTTAATTTAGATATTCTGATACAAATAACTAAATGCATTAAAAATATGTTTCTTTCTATTTCTACACTTAGCTCAAGTAATATCTTAGCTCAATTACTTTAAGTCTTACGTACCATATAGTATCACTGCTCTTACCTTACATCCTTCAAAAATGATCACCTCCTGAATAAAATCATAATTCAAGGGCTGACAAACTTATTATTGACACACATCTTGACTCCTCATTCATTACTTTTCCATATGTTATTAGTTTCTCATTACCTACCTAAAACTTAGCATTATAGATAATGAAAAGGGTTCTGAACATTACATTAAGAAATTCTAGAATAGTTATAGAGAAAAAAGATTGAATAAAAAAGTTCCTTAAAAGGTTACTATTACTTGCAAACATAGCTCTTTGAAAGACAGCTTCCTATAAACATTTATACACATTAAGATATTATTCTAACACATACTGGCAAGATAGACACTCTGCATATGTCTTCATTTTAGGAAGAAATGAAGCAAGGCTATTTTTAATAATAGACTTAGAAACAACTGATAACTTGTAGTATTTGCGGGTTAATGCAAATACTAGGCAGCACATCACAGCAGAGTGTAACTAAAGCCTAAAATAGTGTTTCATCCTCCACAGCTACCTCTGTGCACTCACACAGGTGACTTTATTTTGCATTGCATTAGTTGCTTCTCTAATACAGTCATCTGATTCGCCCCACCTATTTGTTTCAAGTAATCAGTGTGAGAAAGTCTACTTATTGTTAGGCATATTTGTATATATTTCACTAGTAATTTTACACTTGCTCTGACACACTACACATTAAAAAGCTTGAAATTAGACAATGTCAATCTCATCAGCCAAAACCAGGACTGGATGTGAATATTAATACCTGAATGAAATTACAAAATATACGTCTCCAGTCTCATAAAACATGAACTTTATAAGCACTTTCATAAACATTATGAGCAAAATAGCTTTGACAATAACTGTTTGAAAAAATTAATAATCTTTTATACTGTACATGTGCACTAAAATGCAATAATCCCAAAGTTCATTATATTATGAAGGGGATACTTTGTAAGAATTATATATTATTTTTACATTATTAAATAATTTTGGCAGAGTAAGTCCATAGGACTTAAATGTCCAATCAGCCCTAGTAACTACATCTGGATCAGGAAGCCTTTGTGTGTACAGATACAGACTCCCTATGAAGTTCTCCAGGGTGTAAAGAAGGCCCCAGGGAGATGCCCACTGGGAGTGAGGGCCTGCCTCTCAGCTCAGGGGAGCCTGCAAGCAACAGGGCAGTATGGGGAGGATCACAGGCACAGGAAGGGAGCAGCTGGCAGCTGTAACATCAAACCAGGATGGTTTCTTCTTTTTAAAGAAAATTTTGCGGAGTGTTTACCTACCCCCATCCATACACGTATGCTCTCTAGGAAATGTGAAAGTATAAGTTTCAGAAAAATGATTTTCTCATCCTTTAATTTCTGGTTTTATGATCAAATTCTGAAGACATGGCTACTTTTTGATCAAAATAGTTGACATTTTCATTGCTTCTAGTTTTTCAGCTCCTCCTATGCTTACTGTGTTCGTGTCACTGACGTCTTTGGCTATTTATCATCTCTAGAAAAGAAAAAAAATATTAAAATTTTAGGATGTAGGATTCACAATAAATCTCTTACCAAATTCTCCTTAAATCTCTAAACTCTCTACCTGGCTCAAACTCCAAGATGACCCCTTCAGTTCTTTCCGTGTTTTTCTTTGGAAAATTTCATTTCCTAACTTTTCTACCCAACCTTCTCATCTACTCTTAGGTCTGCAGCCACTGTGATAGTGCCAACTTGCAAACTATCAGGTCCTTCCTGCAGTCTTTCAAAAATCTTCCTACTTCCCCCAGAGTGAAGCCTAAACTATTTAACAGGCATCTAAGGACTTTCAGGACCTGTATTCTATTAACATGTTAATTTATCTTTGCCTTTAACTCCCTCCCCTCATCTCTCAAGGCACAGTGCAGGACTTATCCCGAAAGTACTAAACCTGGATACATCTTTAGGAAAAACACATGTATACACACACACACATAGACACACGCAAAAAGAGGAAGCATAGCTTAGTGGTTACGCTACATAAACTACAACTTGCCTAAATAACCCAGTATTTATGTTTTAATAAAATTAATTGCTTTAATAAAAATACATGAAATTGATCTATCTTCTCTGAAATGCCTTTGGCTAAATTCATCTATCTTTTCTCTGGAATGCCTTTGGTTGTTCAAATATTATACAATGTTCCCATGTGTTACAGAGGAAGATGTCCCTTCATTTATAAAAAAAAGGTAAGATATACCGTAAAAATTTTAGAGTAGGATAAATCTGCAGCTACTCTACTGGAGATATGCTAAATTAGCGTTCTGATTGGAGTTAACTTCCGTTACCTTGAGTGAGAGAGAGAAAATACTTACCATTAATCTAGGGATAACAGAGAAGTTAAACTCCAATTCAGAAATAGAGCAGTTCGAAGTCAGAATCTAGAGTCAGATTACATGGGCTCGATCTAGGAATGTCCCCTTTATTAGGCGTGTAACCTTGGGCATCTGCTTGACTGAGTTGATCGTAGATTCCTCATGGAATGAATATAATAAGACCTGATAAATGCAATCAGACAATGCCTGAAACAGTAGTCCTAATTGGGTATTTTTGTTGTCCCCTTTTTTGAGGAACAAAATCAAAGGCAATTCAATGAAAAGTGCAGGTTTCTTGATATCATCCTAATACTTAGCAAATTAATCATAGAACCCAAGTGAAACTGCCTATACTCTCAAAAAGTTTGAAAAACATGTCTAATACACTCAACATTGTCTTAGTTGATGCTCGCAGATTATCAAAAGTAAGCACATTTATACAGTTTTCATCCTCACACTATCTAAATCTGAGGAAGTGTCGGGAAAGATATGTAAGGGAAGATCTAAGCTGAAAATCAAACCACACTTGAGGCTTTTAAACTGTGACCAAATAGTAATTAAAATTAAGTTTATGCTTCTCTGTCCACCTAAGGGCAAATTAAACCTTAAAGAAAGCAAAGGATAAAATCAGTTTGCCCACAGATTAAAAAATAAAATAACTGAATGTATCTTCTTCAACTCTCCACTTCTAGAGATGAGAACTGCACTGGCAAACAGAGGGCATTCAACACAGCATCTGTTAAAATGAGTAACTCCCAAAAAGTACTATGTAAAAAGCTATATAGTTGTTATGACCCAGTACTGCGGAAAGGTGGTGTTGAAACCTTACTGCAGGTAACCTGTGCGTCATTTTCCAGGAGCCACACACATCCCGAGGGCTTCCGAGGTCAGCCTCCTCATCCCCGCCACAGACCCACATCCCGGCACCACCTTCCCACGACTCCCAGCGGAGGCCCCGGCCTCGGCAGGCCCAGGGGCGGCGCGGCAGCAGTGGCGGGTAGGGCTCAGGGCTGCGTCCCGCCTGGTGGGCGCTCGAAAAGTCCCAGGGTCCCCGGAGTGTGCCCCTCGCCGGCACTCCCCCCGTTCTCCACGTCCCCGTGTGCAGTTTCCCAGGGCCTAGAAACCGTCTAGAGCCAAAGGCGAGGCAGGCGGAAAAGGGCCTCACACCGTCCAGGGGCCTCCACGCGGGAGAGGCTGACGCGGCGCCCAGACACACGCTCCCGGGGTCCCCCCGGCCCAGCCCGCAGCCAGCCCCCGCGGCGCCCCTGGGAGCCTGAGGGGTGTGGGAAACACGCGAGCAAGCCGGCTACCCTTCCCGCCTCTGGCCGCGTCCCCATCAGGCCAGTGCTAGGCGGGCGGTTGAAACCCGGGGATCACTACCGACAGAGCACAGAGCGCTCACCAGGGCGGCCCGGGCCAGGTATGCCCATGGACAGCGCTACCTGCTCCCATCACGCACTCGCCCGCGCGCCCAAAGTGCGCACGCGCGGCACCCGGAACCAGTAGGAATCTAGGTTCGAGGGTAACTGGGGCCAATCACAGCGTGCCTGGTGTGTGGGCGGTGTCTCCCCGTGTTGCGCGTGCGCAGAGCTGCTGCGCACTGGCGTCCTTGGCTTTTCCGCGGCCACGGGAGGTGAAGGGAAGTGTCAGTCGCTAGCCTCCCTGAGCCGGCTCGGCCAGCGCGGGTGCTCAGGAACTTCTGTCCCGTGGGATCTGAGGTTCTTTCACATCTAAGTGGGCCGTGTCTCCAGCTTCCCTCCTTTCTGTCCTGCTGAGGTGTCCCTGCCTCGCCCACAAGGCATTTAGGTCTGGGCAGGCCGCCTCTGCCCCCATCACGATCCTTTTATTTTCCTGTTTCATTCTTTCTCTCACTTTCCTATTTGCTAAACCAAACGTTTTCCTTCCATAGGCATGACCCCTTTGAAGGCTACCCATGCCTCGACATATCTGACATTTGACGTTTTACCCCAAAAATTGACTATTTTCTAAAGCTAGTTTGATCCTATCCAACACAGTTTTTTCAGCAAGGGTGTAAGTCTGCAGGCTCTAGACATGCGTGGTCTGAGTTTGAACCCATCTGCTACTAACTTGTATTGCCTTGGAAGACTATCTAACCCAGGGCTTCAGTTCTCATAATATATCAACTGAAACTTTATAGGCTCACTGTAAGCCTTAAGTTGAAACATGGAGCGTATCAAAATTGTGCCTGGCACGAGGTAAATGTTCAAAAGTTAGTATTGTTATTAGGTGCTGGGCACCTTTTCTAGGCCTTGGAATATAGGGATCAAAGTCCCTGATGTCCTGGATGTTTATAATCTATTGTGAACACTTCGCTATTCTTTTGGAAACAGATCTTTATTTTCATAAACACTGATAATTTTCATTGTGTGAAGTGTGATCTCAAATGATACTTTTCTAGTATTTCATCATTATATTTGATTCTTTTTAAAATTTGGGTACTGTTGAGGAAAAGTGACAATGAAATTATTTTGTTAACATGGCTAGCAAAATTCATGCGGGGTTGCCACACTGGGGCGCTGGCAGCTTTATGAATCATGTTCAAAAGTCACTCTTGTGTTCATGGTTCTTTTCACTACGACCACCATTATTCAGGGTGAGGTTTTTCACACCTATTATAAAAGTTTATCTGCAGAAAATGGTAATGAGCTTGTTCTGGTTGGCATCCTGTCGTTTTCCCAAGTACATACTTGGAAGAGAGTGAACAAGAGATTTAAACATGGGTGAATAGATGTTTTGCAGTGGGCTAAAAAAAACACTTACTTTACTAGAACAGTTGCTTTATATTCTGCAGCAATTTTGCAAAGTTTTGAAGTGGAAGAAAAAGATAGTGATGGAATGCTGCTAAAAGAAATACTAGAGAATAACATCTTTGGTGCTTGTTAATCTCATTTTTTTTTTAAGCTGTCAATTACATGTTTGGTGACTGCTTTGAAAGTTCTGATTCTGTTGCCTGTGGATCCACAAAGTAGCTTAGGAAGCCTGATGGCAGAATACAAAAATTGTCTTAAAAGGTTTCATAGATACTCACAATCTTTGTATTGAAGAGTATGATGAAACTCCCCAAGTCCAGTTAGGGCAGTGCTGGGAATACAAGGTGAGAATTTGGGAGAATTTACCACAAAAATGTTGTGTGTGTATTCGTCCATTCTTGTATTGCTGTAAAGAAATACCTGAGACTGGGTAGTTTATGAGGAAAAGAAGTTTAATTGGCTCACAGTTCTACAGGTTGTGCAAGCATGGTGCTGTCATCTAACTGCTAGGCTCCTGTGGGAGGCCTCGGGGAGCTTTTATTCATAATGGAAGGCCAATCAGGAGCAAGAGAGAAAAGTGGTGGGGAGGTGCCATAATTTATCACAACCATATCTTGCAGGAACTCAGTATCAGGAAGTCAGCATCAAGCCATGAGAGATCTACCTCCATGTCCCAGACAATTCCCACTGGGCCCCAGCCTCCAACATTAGGGATTGCAATTCAGCATTGAGATTTGGTGGGCCATATATTCAAAACATGTCAGTGTCATTTTATGAAATATTCTGGGCTAAAAAAGTGGATCCACAAGCAACTTTTAAAAAGAAGATAATTAACATCTCAGTTGATAGTTTCTAACATGAATCCTAAATAGGCCAAGTGTGCAGCATACTTGCGGTTTTGAATCAGACACTATATGTGATCTCTCTTTTTCTTAGTTCTAACCAAGAAATAGATACTAAGTCTTAGAAAGTTTTAAATACTTTGGACACAATAACATTTTTTTAACAAAGCCCTAGAGCAACATGTTACTGGACTTTCTGAGCAAAGAAAGTCAAGTAAGTGATAAAGAAAACTGACTCCTTCAAAATCCATTTTGAATGTAACATCAGAAAGTTGTTTTCCCCCTTGTAAATTAGAGGCATATGTCAGAGATATTGGGGGTTCAGTTCCAGACCACCTCACTAAAGTGAATATCACAGTAATGCATGTCAGATGAAGTTCTAGACAGCATCTCATTCCACATAAGGCTATTTTGTCTACACTGAAAATCTGTTGTGTAGTGTAGCCACCTTTATAAATGATCTTAACTTGATCTTCTGGATAACTTGTGGCAGTGTCTACATTAATACTTACTGCTTTACCTTGTACTTTTATGTATGGAGACAACTTCTTTCCTTAAACCTCACGAGCCAATGTTTTCCAGCTTTAAACTTCTCTTCTGCAGCTTTCTTATGTCTCTCAGTCGTCATAGAAAAGGAGATAATTAGGGCTTCTTTCTGGATTAGACATAAGCTTAAGGGAATGATATGTCTGGTTTGAATCTTCTATCCAGACTACTAAAACTTCCCCCCGGTGAGCAAAAAAACTGTTTCACCTTCTTATTATCCCTTTATTCACTGACGTAGCACTTTTGATGTTTTTTCAAGAACTTTTCCATTGCATTCACGACTTGGCTAACCATTTGGCACAAGAGGCCTAGCTTTCAACCTGTCTCAGCTTTTGACATGCCTTCCTTGCGGAGCTTAATCATTTCAAGCTTTTGTTTTAAAGTGAGAGACTTGCAAGTCTCTCTTTCACTTGAACATCTAGGGGCCTCTATAGGGTTATTAATTGGCCTAATTTTAACATTATGTCTCAGGGAACAGGGAGACTTAAGGGGAGGGAGAGAGATGTGGAACAGCTGGTTGGTGGTGCAGTCAGAACACACACATTTACCAATTCAGTTTGGTCTTACATGGATGTGGCTCTTGGTGCCCCCAAACAATTGTAATAGTAACATGAAATATCACTTGCCACATATCACCATAACAGATATAATAATAAGAAAACACTTGAAATATTATGAGAATTACGAAATTTGACACAGATACATGAAGTATGCACATGCTCTTGGAAAAATGGCACTGATAGACTTGCTCAACACAAGGCTGCCACAACCCTTCAATTTATATATATATGACAGTATCTGCGAAGCACAGTAAAGCAAAGTTTACAATAAAAGTATGACTAAATAAACTTTTACTCCCTCAGGTTTTACAATTAATCAAACCACTTGGGAAAGTCAATTACTTGGCCTGAAAACCCTGCATTTTGTTTAGAAAACTAAAAAATACGCTATTCCCTCATATTTATTCTTTTTATGTGCAATACTGTTAAACTCTTAATTCATGTTCACTGATCAAATATAATCTGTCTGACTTATGCTAAACATATTCAGGTCTTATTTTCTTCACTAGTGTCAAGATGAGCTGGTTATAGCTTAGACTAGAATAATTAAGGTTTGAAATTTTGATGTTTCAGAGTCCAGGAATCCTTTACACTCAGCAATATTCTTTCTTTTCCATAATGATCTAAAAAAGAAGTCATGTCATAAAGCATTTGAAGTATAAGAAAATGGTTAGAGAAATTTAACCATTTTATGGAAAGGGAAGTAGGAAGTTTCCAGAAGAGCAGGATCTTTAGTGACCTAATGAAAGAGTTGCAATATAATTTTAGGGAAAATATTGATAAGGATAACTACAATAATAAATGTTAAAATCTCTCTTGAAAGACCCTAATGTCCAAATGTCACTTTGAACATTTTCTTAAGAGGATTACTTTATTATTTTATTATTTTTTAATTTTTTTATTTTTTCCCATTTATTTATTTTATTGCATTTTAGGTTTTGGGGTACATGTGAAGAACATGCAAAATTGTTGCATAGGAACACACGTGGCAGTGTGATTTGCTGCCTTCCTCCCCATCACCTACATCTGGCATTTCTCCCCCTGCTATCTCTCCCCAGCTTCCCACCCCACACTGTCCCTCCCCTATTTCCCCCCAACTGACCCCAGTGTGTAGTGCTCCCCTCCCTGTGTCTGTGTGTTCTCATTGTTCAACACCCGCCTATGAGTGAGAACATGCGGTGTTTGATCTTCTGCTCTTCTGTCAGTTTGCTGAGAATAATGGTTTCCAGGTTCATCCATGTCCCTACAAAGGACCCAAACTCATCGTTTTTGATGGCTGCATAATATTCCATGGTGTATATGTGCCACATTTTCCCTATCCAGTCTATCGTTGATGGGCATTTGGATTGGTTCCAGGTCTTTGCTATTGTAAACAGTGATGCAATGAACATTCGTGTGCACGTGTCCTTATAGTAGAACAAGTTGTAATCCTTTGGATATATACCCAGTAATGGGATTGCTGGGTCAAATGGAATTTCTATTTCTAGGTCCTTGATGAATCGCCACACTGTCTTCCATAGTGGTTGAACTAATTTACACTCCCACCAACAGTGTAAAAGTGTTCCTATTTCTCTACATCCTCTCCAGCATCTGTTGTCTCCAGATTTTTTAATGATCGCCATTCTAACTGGCGTGAGATGGTATCTCAATGTAGTTTTGATTTGCATTTCTCTGATGACCAGTGATGATGAGCATTTTTTCATATGTTTGTTGGCCACACGTATGTCTTTTATTATTTTATATTAAATCAAGTCTACTTAAACATGTCAGATGGCTGGATCTCAGTTAAAGGAAATATATAGTGAGGATAAATAAAAAAAAATAGATCATATTATTTTGGGGATGAATATTTATAACCATTGAATTATGCAGAAAAATATTTAAACTAGCAACAAAAGATTCTTATATATAAATGTAAAATTTTGGGGGAACATGAAAGTACAAATAAGTAAGAAGGAACTTAATGTAGATAAGCCTTTCTTAGAGGTAGTGAGGGAAA